ATAAACCTTGAAAAAAAAAAACAGACGACAGATAGAATGGGTCCTGGGGCGGATCCTTGAGAGATGCCCTGGAGGTTAAAGGCTGACATCTCCGTCGTGATTTAAGATTTAAACTAGTTAAAGTGTCGACAAATTGTAACTTTCAATATTTAAGGACAAATATGTATTCTCATGTACATTCACTCGTGATGACCCGGACGCGCACTCTGTGGTATTATTTCGTATGATATATAGTTGGTCGTTTAGTAAAAATGTGTAATGAGTTGATAATTTGATATTTCATGGTGAACTGGAAATGTTTAATGTGGTTCACAGTACGTACAGGTTATAAGTTAGACATTTGATTAGAGTGAGCAAAGTGAGTCTATTTTTAATGCAATTGGCTATAATTGAGAACTGTAATAAACATCTTTAACTAGCATGGAAAGCGAGGATGTCGGAAGCCGCAACGTTGGCAATCAAAGCCATTTCTCGAGATCACGGTTATTTTGCTTGACGATGTTGCCCTTTTGCTGCTTCTGCCTTGTGTTAGAATAGAAAGAGGTATCCGAGGTGTAGATTAAACTCCTGTAATGTAATATGCATATGCGCGTAGCAAATATCTACTTAAACGGTATATTTTTTAGCTTGTATGTCACGATCAGAGTCGAGTCACGACTGTAGCAACGATGTGACTTAGAAGGGAACGCCTCAGGAACCCGGTAATACCACAAGCTAATAACTTGAGGCGATGATCACTTGCTTCAAGATTGTGCGTAATGCCAATAATGTTTATTAACTGGGAGCGGTACAAAATAATTATAATTTAATTGCGATTTTATTTAGCCCACAAATTATTATATTATATTACAGTCTCATCAGAAAGACTTGACAATGCCGGCCACCAGTGTCAGCAATAAAAATCCAACAACGAAATTGCCTCTCATTAAATTTTTTGTAATTACCAAGTCCCACTAAAGCTCGCTTCACACAACACAATAAGCAATCGAAATCAGGTTCAGGTTCGTCCTCTTCGTGTCGTTGCCTGCAATATACTGAAGCCTCTTTGAGATACTACAAGAGCGATAAAGTGATGCCTCCAGCGCTTAACAAATTTTTACGTTCCCACGTGATATTGTTAACAGGAGATCCATCAAAACTTAATCTCTAATTGAACAAACTCTTCTTAAATATTTTAGTGTCAAGTCAAAAACTTTCAAAACGTTATCTGATCTTGCAAAAAATCTAAGATATCCGAAGTTGACGTTGAAAACACTACAGTGACGCAATTTTTGTCTGTTTTCGGGTTTTAAAAGCGGTTGACGTTGTCATATTGAATGAAAAATAATGAGAAGATGACCTTTCAGGCATTGAGATTAGTTATGAAAGTGATGGTGATTTATGTCAAATGGACATCGGTGCGGTGCCACTAACGGTATATACGCGTTGATGAATCAATCTTACAAAAATTGAGGTGAAAGATCCATAATAGTCTTATCCGTAAATGGTGATAAAAAAATATGCACTCTGACCTTTTGAAAAATAATTGCATAATGCGAATTGTCATGTCCAGATTTATTGGACACAAATTAGAACTGTAATAGAGATTTATAGTCGCAGAATAGTGTTAATCTGAGGGAATGAAGCGACGCTTATACTGCACCTTGCCTAGCAACCAAAGACATAGAGACTAGTATAATAAATTTCAAAATAACGTCGTGTCCCAATTATTTTCTCGCACCGATGGCTTGACGCATATATTAGGAAGAGCAAAGCCGCAATTATTTTTAAATTACACGACCAAAGAAAATACCAGCACGTAGAAAATATCTTTAGGGTGTATTGCATCCTAACAAAAGCCGATTTCTCTGTTTGTTCTAAATTAGAAAGGGTTTGGACAGGAGGAATCTCTTCGCTATCGCGTATTTGATGAGATAATCGATCAACTTGCGAAGCGTTTATAATAATTGTGTTTGTTTTTAATGCCGTTTCTTCATACAGGATATAGACCAGTGTATGGTCCAAGCGCCTGAAGACCACATGCTGATCCGCGCTCAACCGGCTGGCCTTCTCATTATCAATTATCCGTATCTTCACACAGGCATAAATAACCACAGGTATAAAAATCTCATTATACTCTCATGAAATATGAGTGTAATTGATAAAGTTATAAGTTATTTATTATGTGCCCGTAAATGAGTTCATCAGCATTTTGTAAATAAAAGCTGAAAATGCAAATAGTGCATAAATTATGGTACAAAGATCGCTCAAAATTGCATAATCAATCAGTTGTTGAATCAAAAAAAATGCCAAGAGACAATGTTGTTTAGTCCAGTGCGTGAGTGGCCCCCGGCGATTCACTTTCGCGAGAATCTAATGATGTCAAGATCCAGTTTGGACCACATGCAATGGGAATCGCGCAGAACACAACATCCTACATTACTATGGAATGTATTAACAAATAAGTAGTAAGAACGTTGTGGGTGAGGTTATGCGAATTGCTTTCTTGTTTTCGTGCAGTTAAATGCCACTAAATACATGCTCTGTAGTGGCAACGTCGACTCTTAATTGTCACATTTCATTCCATAATCATTATCCACATTCACACAATATATACTACGCTTCATGTGTCCATATAGTCGTTAGACCTTTCCTCGTTGAACTTTCACAGTTTCACAGGCTCTGTTTCGAAAAATAATATAAGAGATCGTTCAGTTAGCCCCAGGTACTCAAATCGAGAATCGAGGCGTAAAACCTTTATTCAAAACGTGTCATTTATTACATAAACTGAATCTGGTGGAAAGGTGGAAATCGTAAACTTCCACAAACACGTATTAGTTTGATTAGAATTCTCGTCAGTTCTTAGCGTCTTTCTATTAATTACCCGACTTCTGATCTCCGATGGAACGCCAAAGTGTGTTTGGGGGTGCAGGAAGGAGGGTTGTTTGATGAACATTGAGCAATCACAGTCCTATTCTAGTATCGAAGGCACTTACGTGGAAATCAGTATTAAGCACCAAACTTCCACTCTTATCACCAACGAAAAAATCAATTAGCCCGAATGAAAATTATGCTTGTTTGAGAAACGAGATTTCCGCCTTTTACCCATCGCCAAAGGGAATGATATGCTTACCTATTTAATCACAGGATGAACTACTGCATCGACTGAATTAAATAAGTCGGCTACCGCTTAGCAGAGGGCGCATCATGCAAATATGCACTCGTGCTAATTAAATCCCAATTCTTTACCTCCTTCACTAAATTTATCTAACAAAGTAGACGAATTAACAAGATGAATTACTCTTTTTAATACAGAAAAATGCGCGTCATCAATTATGATTTTAAGTGTGTGTAACGTAGTAAAAAAAAATCATGTTTCTCCTCTCATATAACAAGTGACAGCAGTTTTCCGACATATTAACCACGTACATCTGTCAACATGAAAAAAGTGGCCAATTCATGTATTTGTCGACCCTTGTAAGCTTATTACAGTTGGCCATTTGTGGCAAAAGCCCGAATTTAGGGGCGAGATTTCGGCGATATTGTTGGCCAACTCGTGCTCTGGGACGACATATTTCATTTCGTCGCCGCTGATATCAGAATTTGGCCGTTTTTTGTTTTGCTTTTACAACTATTAACTTCCTGTAAAATGTCATAAAATATGCTCGTTTAATGTCCCAGATTTTAAAACGGGAAGCAAGGCTAATCGAATCAAACCATACAGTCATAAAATACAAAGTATGGTCGTGATAAAAAAATAATTGATGACTCTATTGTTGCTAAATTCAGAATTATTGACTGAGATTTATAACGATTTCATGTCATTGCAGGTGTTTGGATGCTCTAAAACCTGGATTATTATATAAATTCATAATGCTTCGTGACAGAATCAAGGTGGATATTTTTCATCATCCAATGCTATCGTGATTGTAAAGGATCTAAACTCTCACTTTTTGGAAAGTCGTGCCATTATACAATACTATAAATAATATAAAATCAATATTAATTATCTTTTATATAAATATCAACGATTTGTTCTTACTCACATTGTTCAATAAGTAATATATTGTCTCCCACTGTAGAGATAAATAAACTCACTTACCTACTATATGACTTATTGCAATACTTACGGCTATAACTTCTCTTTAACTGCCTGATATTTCCGATATTACTCACCTCCAGTTTATCAAACATCTCAATTCCTACCAACTTGACAAAAAACAACCAAGCAATTGAACAAAAGAGGAGTTGTCGTCTTAAACCGTCCTTAATCTAAGAACTTATAGTGATTGACACAATCATTAGAGGAAAAACCACCCGCTTACTAAGTCTTGTCGTGTTCCAGCTCATCGATCACTTAATGAAACCCAAAAAAAAAAAAATTTAATTCACGTGACAGTCATAAAATTCAACGAGGTCAAACGGAAGATAGTCACTTAAACGACTATTAAAACTGTCAAAATAACTTGTAGATGTATCGATTAATTACCATAGAGAAAATTTTCATGAATAATTGAGCTAAAAATACGTCCAGGAAATTAAATGTCACTTTATCAGCGATAAAAGTACACATAATTAAGTGTGTTATCTACGGGAGCTTTAATGATAAACTGATTTCGCAGTTTCGGATGTACTCGTATAAGCACATGTTTTATAACCTATGCACAAATGTCCAAAGAAATATTTATGTACTAAATCTTGTACTTTAAAGGTAACGCGCAATAAATCGATTTTATTGCCGTTTGTACCAATAATTTACAATTGAACCAAACGTCAGTGACACCAGTTAATTTATACGGGGTGTCGCAACAAATCTTTTACTTTTTATTGTTATATACAGGGGTCAAGTCCAGTAATATCAAATGAGTAGCGTGGGAGAATGTGTCCGATAAGCGTATTTGCATCACCTGCGGGCGAGTCTTTGACAACGAGCGCATCAGTGATGTGATGCCGGCCCATGTGATATGGTGCGCAATGACAAGTGAAAGCTCACACGCCTCTTGTGACAGTGCGACAAACCGCTGCCTCAGTGGTAGTTGGACTGCCGCGGCAACAACATCCTGTCAGTCGTCACTGGTTGCAGCAGCAACAGCAGCAGCAACTTCCTCCGCGCACGCATCACAATTACGGAGCGCACTTGACGCCCACCTCGAAAAATTCACAAAACTAGTGCTCAACCGACCTACCATCACTTAACATGCTCACAGAACTGTAACAGTGCTAGAGACGGTCGAATTCTCTCGCGTGAGTGATAAAGTCGTCAAATTTTCCCGCACATGTCTCTGTACAGGTAATACACGTTTGATTGTTTTTGTTGCGCGCGCATCACCGACTTAGTGACAGATTACTACATTACGTCCTTACGTCATTACGCTAGAATGTTGTAAAAAGCGTTTCGTGTAAACTGCATATTTTACCAAGAGCGGAATTTTCGTCATTTCAGCTATCTCAGATTACGCCATAAAAATTCACTGTCACCGCTTTTAAGGTTAAGCACCAATAAAAAAATTCATTCTCAATTACCAATGCCCGATTTTATTAAAGTCATTAATTCGATGCGATGACATCAGTCGCTACTCGCTACCACCGTTCAGGTAATTTTCGAGGTTAATCAACAAAATTCCTTCCTTCTCAACGGTCATAAATTTATGTGACAACTACGACATAAAGTAAGAATTGATGTAAACAAACACTTAACTCGTTACTTAATATAATTAATTAATCAAAAAACACGTTTAACTATTAATAAGCATAAATAACACTCACTGGACGAGCCGGCATTCTCTTAGAAAAAAACTCGTCACTTAATTAGCGGTGGAGTATGTCCAGCAGCGACCCCTGCTGCAATTATTAGGGTTTTTAAACCCTGTTTCCGTGTCTTTGTAGGAGGTGGCGCTGTAATGTGTATTTCACCGGCGTCATGTCACGACAACGCAATAAAACAACCACGATAACGATCGACTCTTTCCACAATTTATTCCTTTATTCAACATCTCACCATAATTAAGGGCTAAAACACCAATTGCTCCCATAAACGATTATTTATAACAATTTAAACCCTTTCTTCCCTACACTCTTATTAAATATACAAATAATCACCAGACAACTCAATTCCAATTTTTATTTCTGTTTTACAAAATTATACGATATGATTCTTTCACATCCAACCCCTAAACTGGGTTAAACATGTATTACATCGGTGTAGGGGAAGTTACTGACCTAGATTTAGAGCGAGGGTAGGCCCCACATTACGCCAATTTTATGTCACGCTTGCTTCATTCAAACTTTTGCACACATATTGACACGATCAAGGTTATTAAACGGTAGTTGATGTATTTATTTAAGTTTTACCGTTTCAATTTGCCCAAAATCGGCAATATTTTACTAAATAACACAAATATTTAACATACTTTAGCTTTTAGCATGTGAATAATCTATTAGCTACTACTGTTCAATTAAAAACATTGAAATTCCTATATAAAACATTTTATTCAATTTGTGTAATTTGTAATTTTATCACAATCACAAAAAATGTTTCGGCGTGCTTCCCAGCTGGCTAGATTTGAACAACTTCCGTTTATGTAAATTGTAATTGTAATATATGTTAGAATTTTTTATTTAGTCCGGTTGTCAGATGGATAATTAGACTCACCTGGTATAAGAGCGTTGTGTAAAAGAGTGTAGTCGATAGCATTGGATGACATTGGGACCAATAGCACAGGTGGGTACGCCTGTCGCGTTGTCACCGCGAAGGAGGGGATGTCACCACTCCTGTGGGCGCTTGCGCGGGGCGGTCGTTAAATGTCACCTGCAGCTACGCCTCTGCTACCCACTACAACCTGCCCCCTAGTGGCATTCTTAACTGATTCGATTTATCAGAGGTTCGTATTTACATCGCAGCGAGACATTCTACCGGGTGACAGCCCTCTTAAAGTAGTGGGGAATATTTCCGTCGCCATTTTTCTCACGAATTTCGATTTTTGCGATCTTATCAAGACGGCTCACCGGAGATAAGACAGAGATGGAGCAACGTCTCTTCCTGATATCGATTCAGAGTTCAGCCGGACTGTATGAAAAGCACTGAAACTAGGAATTTTTGCTTTCTTTGTGTCTTGATTCATTTGCTCTCTCAACCACCACTACCAAAACGCAAAAGTCAATACAATCGCAAAAAAACTGTCAAGATCGACGACAAAATACAGAAATTAAACACCAGAAATATTATTTCCAAATGAATAATTTGAAGAAAAAAGGCATATACCTAAAAGCCATTATAAAGAATCACCCTGTACTCTTAATTACAATTATTTCAGTCAATCGAGTTATGTTTGTGTAGATTTATTTGTGATATATAAGATGATTCAGCTAATATTACCGTGATTGTTTTGTATTAAATTTTAATTAATGAAACCTGACAAATTGCAGTAATTACAGGTCGATAGAGATACAAAGATCAACAGATTTCGAAAGATCATCTTTTCCGAATCACCCTGTAATTAACACAAGTTAACTAACTTAAAAACCAATATCGTACTTTCCATTTTAACAACAAAAGAAGTAATGTAAAAGGTGATTTAGCTAAGATGAAGCTATTTTACTTGGAATCTGTAGAGTTTAGATATTTAAAGTGTCAAAAGGTTTTTGAAAATAATTATACATATTTGACAGTGACACTTAATCAGCTTGTATACGTTAAATGTAAAAAACCTAAATCAATTTTATTACCAAGACAAAGATTTTTCTGTACACATTGTGTATGTTGGTATGTCTATAAAGTACACAAAAAATTTTGACGTATTGTGCAAAACTTTGTTAAAGAAGCTTAATAAAATTGTAACGCAAGTATGTATTAGATATAATTATGTAAAATGAATTAAAGATATACGATATACAGTGGTTCAGGGAAGATAAAGATTCAAATAAAATACAACGTTGGAAAAATTCTTGCAATAAACAATATTTTCTCAATTTTGTTTTATTATTTTTCACCATTTAAATTTAAAATACTCTATAGAAAAAAAATATTGTGTATTTAAAAATTGCTGAATCAGTCTGCCCCTCAAATTTTCTTAAGATCGACGACAAAATACAATTATTATTATAAAATTATTATTTTCGAATACATGTTTTGACGAAAACTGACAAAAAACCGTTTTTATTTAAGAAAAAAAATTTTGGTATGGTAATCTCAAAAGTTTTTACAACCTTTAAACATGTATTAATTTATTTCCAAAAAAACTCGTAGGTAGTTTACTCAAAAAAATTCTTTAATTCTTGTAAGTCAAAAATTTTTTTAACAAAAGAGTGACGAGGTTTACAAAAAAATTTGCACAGCAACAGTTCTTCTTAGAAGTTCGTTGTCTAAAAAAATTGTGGTAGGTTTCCATTTAAAAAAGATTGTTACTATATTTATCTCGTATAAGTATAAATAATTAATAAACATTCAATTTTTTTTTGGATAGCATTTTTATAGCCATTACACACCTATAAATTTATTTTCCAAAAAATTTATAGTTTCGCCAGAATAAAATCGTTTCCAGACTTTTTGACCATCCTGTGTAATTGAATTATAGTAATTTTGATTTTGACAATTATGGCGAATTGAGTTTTAGTTATATTTAAAAAAAATCACTGTAGATTTATTTTTGACATGTACCTACCTAACTCAGAGAAATGTATTTTTGTTGCAAAGTTGTAAGAAAATTCTGTTTTTTTTGTACAAAGTGAAAAATAAAAAACTGATACTAGCAAAAAGAATTTTATTAATCCTAGTATTTTAATGAAATAACACACAAACGGATAAATTTGGCATAATAAAATATTTGAATTCAAACTAGAAAATTAAAATAGACATCAGCAGCTTTGTAAAGTTTTGTATTCAGGGCCGTAAGCAAGAATCTTTTTCGGGCGGGGGTTCTTGTTGGTCTATGAAGAGGGAATGAAGGGGTAGTAAAAACCAAAAAAAGCAAACATAAAAAAATGCAAATTAACAAACAAAAAATAAAATTTTTAATACTTTTAAAATTATACTGGGGTCTTCCTACATTTCTACATTTCCGAAACCATTTAAAAAAATCAAAATTTGGTACAGATGATAGGTAATTTTTATACACCCTTTAATTAGGGGCTTCCTAAACTGAGAGTAAAAAGTACTCTATCTATTTTGCCTGTAGTTTCTTGCCACTTTCAGCAACAAAATTCTAAATTTCATAGATTTTTATAAAAAAGGTCTTTTGGATTTTTCCGATACAACTTACCGATTTTCAGTAAAATCAGTTTTAAAATTTATGTGAGAGACCATAAACAGCATAAAAATTAAAAATCAAATTCGTTTTACCGTTTAGGACGCCTCTGATTAAATAGGTAGTTTCATAAAATTACATTTCTAGTTCAGTGTTCAGTTGGTGTATTTGAGGAATTTTAGTCTTGTTTGAAGAGGAGTAAAATAGTGCAAATTTAATTGCAAAATGAAATTTGACGTGTTCGTGGAGTGTCTCGTCTAACTGGAGTAATAAATAGCCTCTTGAATGTGTGGCCATTAGTGTTCGGTAGCGTTGGGTATTTTTGGGTTGTCCGTTAATCCCTGCTGGTCCTCCTCCTCTTTGGCCTCGTCCAGGATCGTGTCGACAAAGCGCGGATTTAAAATTTAAAGTGCACGTTTGGACGGTTTAGCGCATAAGGGCGGAGCTTAATAGAATTGTCACTGTGAGAAGGACTGTCACTTGTCCCTTTGGTTGCGCAAGCGTGCCGCCAATGGGACCATAGGCCGTCGCGACGCTGTGACACGCCCGGCGTCCAGGCGAACCTTGACCCCTTCAGTGCCCTGCATCAGCGTCGAGCGGTCACACGTACGCTTGCTACCCATGCAGCCCGTGCCGCCCCCTTAGAATGGTAAGTTCGATCGAGAAAGCCGATTTTGTTCACTTGACGTGACGTCACTGTCATATCACTTGCGTGAGTTGCGACTTCCGGAACCGGTTCGGAGTCGAACCGGTTTCGAAAACCGGTTCTGTATAAATCAAGACCGGAGACCATCTCTTCTCTGGTTTTCTTCGGTTCCAAGTTTTTCCCAAATTCTTTATTGCGCACTTTACAAAACATGGTCATGAAAGTACTATAAATAACAAAGCTGGGTAAAGCGACGTGCGATAATCGCCAATTTCAAAGGTAATAAATTTAAGTGAATTAGCATTAAACGTGCCTAAATAGAGGTTGATTAAATAGCGCCCGTCAATAAATCATCGGTGTAACTTACATTAAAATACTGTTTTAATATGCAAATGGTGATGC